ATGTGTGCTTAGAGAAAAGTGTAGAGACAGAGTGTCTCTTTTTGAGAGAGAAAGAGAAAAGTGAGGAGAGAGATAAACAAGGGTGTAAGGGGTTTTGGGTAGAGAAAGTAAGAAAATTTATTGACTGTGTAATTCTGAAACTGTCAGTAAATTTTTCTCCCTTTTCTGTGGACTTAAAAAATTTTTCCTAACCACCTAAATCTTTGTCTTCTCTATTTTTATGTTATTTTTATTTCAATTTATTTTCCTATTGCGTCTGTGTAGGGGTGTGTTTTTCTCAACAACTGGTATCAGAGCTGTGGTGAAAATTTTTTTTTAAAAAAAAGGCAAGATGATGTCCAGGATAAAGTTTAAGCAGATTGAGCGATTTGATGCAAAGAGTAATTTCAGCATTTGACATAGTACAATGAATGATGTTCTGATTCAGTAGGAATTACTGAAAGCACTGCAAGGACAAAAGTCAGAAAATATGAAAGTTGAAGTTGAGAAGAATTGGAAGCGAGAGCGGTAAGCACTATTCGTTTAAGTTTGGCTCCTGAATTGAAATATAGTGTTATGAATGAAACATCTCCTTCTGAGTTATGGAAAAAATTAAAAAAAGTTTATATGTCGAAATCCATAACAAATATATTATATTTGAAGAAACAATTGTATGAGTTAAAGATGGATGAAGAAACTGATGTTAGGGATCATATGAATAATTTTAATAAGTGCATAACTCAATTGTGAAGTGTAGAGGTCAAAATTGACGAGGAAGATAAAGCGGTAATTTTGTTGGCCTTCCTATCCAAATCATATGAGACTTTGGTGACTACACTTTTAGTTGGAAAGACGATGTTGACTGTAAATAAGGTGTCGACTGCTTTGTTAGAGACTGCAAATATGAAAAAAACCTAGTGTTACGTCTCATACTAAATAAGTTTTAGTGGCACGGTTAGATTCGAATAGGGGTATGAGCAAATTACGAGAGAGATGTTATGATAAAAGAGATTATCATTCACAATCCCGCTCAAGGAAGGATATTGAGTATTATTATTATTATTATAAGAAGGGACATATTAGGAGAAACTGTGAAGAACTGACGAAGCATCTAGAAAAAAGAAGAAAGCAAGAACCCCAAGAGATTTCAGATTCTTCAAATGTTGTTGAAGACATGTATGACAGTGAAGATGATGTTTATTCTTTTATTGCTGATGAAAATATTTCTTACTCTTGGATTGTAGATTCTGGATGCTTGTTTTATATGTGTCCACATAAAGAGTAGTTTGATTCTTATAAGCCCTGTGATGCTGGTACTTTGTTTATGGCTAATGATTCTAGTGCTAAAATTGTTGGAATAGGTATTGTGAAGATGAAGATGTTTGATGGAGTTGTGAGGACATTAGCAAATGTTAGGCATGTTCCTCAACTAAGGAGAAGTTTGATTTCTTTGGGAGCTTTGGACATTTTGGGGTGTGAGTACTATGCGAATGGTGATTTTATGCAAGCCAAGAGAGGTGATTTAGTAGCCATGAAGGGTGAAAAAGTGAAAAATTTACATAAGCTTATTGAGACAACAGTTGTATGTGGAGATATGATGGAGAAACCGTGCTAAGAAGAGTCTTCTTCTGTTATGAAAGAAGTTGCATGAGTAAAAGAGTGCAACAAGATGTTGATAACAGTTGAAGACAATAAAGGCAAGATGGTGAAAACTTGTGACAGTGAAGATGCTTTGAAGAATAAGAAGACAGTTCCTCATGTCAAGTTTGATGAGAGTTTAAATTTGACATATGTTTATTCTTGTTGAAGTTTACATTGTCGGTGCTATGACGACTGTCGAGATTGGATACTCAATTGAGTGAGTTAAGAGAATTTGAGTCAAGGTAGGTAAGTAACTCAAATTGGTTTTGGAAAAGTTACTATTTTGTGTTTTTAGGTAAGTTACTGTTTTCAGTTTTTGGGCAAGGGCTATTTTATAGTTTATTAGGAGTCTATAAATAAGTGTTTTGTGTAAGTCTTTATGTATATGCTAAGAGATAAGTGCAGAGACAGAGTGCCTCCTTTTGAGAGAGAGAGAGAGAGAAGTGAGGTGAGAGATAGGTAAGGGTGTAAGGGGTTTTGGGTAGAGAGAGAAAGTGAGAAAGTTTATTGAGTGTGTAATTCTGAAATTGTTAGTGAAGTTTTCTCTCTCTTCCGTAGACGTAAGAAATTTTTTCGAACCTAAATCTTAGTCTTCTCTATTTTTCTGTTATTTTTGTTTCAATTTATTTTTTTACTGCGTGTGTGTGGGGGTGTGTTTTTCCCAACAACGAGCTCCGACGCTACCTCCAAACACATCACCGAGCTTCCAGCCATGAAGTTTGGTCCCCGGATTTGTCTCGACATTGGCTTTCTTGTGATGTTTTCTGTGTATGGAGCGGCACACCCATCAGAGCGGATCTAACTTGTCTTGGAGGTGGGTTGCTTTAAGCTTGTACCGTTGTTTTTAGCGTGTTCGTCAGCAGGATAGTCGCACTCCCATGGTGTGTTGATCTGCATGGTGGAGAGCTTCTCTAGGAGCCGGTGGTTCCATTCTCCTTTGGTAGCTGGAGTGTTCGTTGCTAACGTCCCTTCCATTTTACCGTGGTCCTCCCACAGTCCTCCACCTCCCATGGGTGTGCTTTCTTTATGGAATGACTCTGCTCAAATCTGGCTTCCATTCCACGATCGATAGCTTGCTGCCGGTGGATCTTTATTTTGTTTAGTTGTAATAAGGGCGTTGATGTTTCTGTCCCTTTGGTGTGTTTTTTTTTTTTGTTTTGCTTTGGTGTTTCTGTTTTGGTAATAATGGAAGTGATGTCCTCCGTTTATGTCTCCTACCCGTTTAAAAACTGTGTGGTATATGTTTTCTAGCTAGAGTTCCTTTTATGTCGTTGTGTAATTATCCATGTTACGTGGGGTTTGGTTTCGGTTGACTGGACTAGTCCATTGACTATTTTGGTGTTGTTTATCGAGCAAAGGTCAAGCTCATAGTTTATGCGCCGAGCGTGTCTTTTTTCAATTGAGTCTCAATACTTGTATTTATTCATATGCTATTTTAGTCTTTACTGATGGATCCAGTCATTGATTTAGGATTGAATTTCTTTGTATTTGAGACTATTTTTATCTTGTATAATTTATTTTTTGTGAAATGAAATTTCCCATTTTTTTAAAAAAAAATGCATTTTTTTTTAACAAATTTAATCACGTATACATCTAAGCGAGCAAACGCAATTTTCACTTTTCAGAAAGAGTATCATGATCAAAATTTTCATAATGTAATCCCAAATTGCTGGGCATCTGCTTTTGCAATACATATATATTGCTGCAATTACCTCATTATATATGTTCATATGTACGTAAGAATTGTCTTGAGTCCGATACCTAAATTAGTAAAATATGTGTAACTTTTTTCATTTGTCCGTGTAACATTGTTCATAAATATGTGTAACACTTAATTTATTTTAGTATAATATTTAATAAATATAGCTTAAAATATATAACATTAAGTGTTATATAAGTATACAAAAAATGTATATGTGCGAACGAATAATGTTACACAAACATACAAAAAAATTTAAGCATGACTGATCCAGGTGGTGGATCGAAGACTTTGGCCTCATTCTCTTCATAGATTCGAGTTTCTAATTTGAGTTGAAATGTGATATTTTTTTTAAAACTTTTTACTTTAATAAAAAAAGTTAAATGTAACATTAAAAATTAAAAATTAAAAACTCAAATCGGTGAAATGAACAAACTACTTATGCATCAAATTTCACTATATATAAAAAAAAAATGATTTTCTTGCGTTCTTTATTTGTAGCTGCGCAACAAGACAGTAGAACATATGAATAAGCATGCCAGCATTTGAAAGTAGCTAGAGCCCCACCTTTGCTATATTCATCATTGCAGCAGATTGTAGTGATATATAGCTAGCTAAATGATGGCCACAAATTGGAAAAGAAAAGGTTGGTTTTGTTAGTTGGATTTTTTTTTTTTTTTTTAATTTTTTTCCTCTTTCATCTATCGGTTAATTTGTTTCAAGTAAATACTTAATGGACTTTACTTTTTGTTTGACTATGGGAAAACCCCAATTATAGATATTACGGTACAATATGGCATCACTAAAGTGATTATCTAAAACCTAATGATTATGAGGTAGAATTATCTGTCCACCCCATGTGTCCTGCTGTTAATTTCCTCTAATTAGTCTATCCCAAATGATCTTTTGCCTTTGCTTTTTCCATTGATTAAGCCATGTTGTGATATCATTCCCAATCGTACGTCTTCAGACCCTAGAGGTCCCTAGAAGCCTCAGGTGTGCTCTAAATTCTAGCTACAAATCCAAAGTAGATCAAAAGGAATACTACTTGTTTCCCAGTAAAAAGAGAAAATATTGGATGGAAAGGAAATTGAAAACAAATTAGAAAACATATAAAAAAAAAGTGAATTTCTCTAATAGTTCATGTGATTAAATCATATTAAATTAAAAAAATATACATAATAAATAAATTTTAATATAGATTTAACGACTGAAAAATAAAAACTATTAATAATTTAATTTTATAGAGACTAGGAGTGAAAGTCCCATAAAAAAAGTGAAATTGTAAAGATAAATATTATCAAATATTTTGTATTGGTTAAATTCATAACGGTTAATAGGCGACATCTTTATTCCTTTGTTCTTTTGCACTTGCCTCCTTTTCACTTTAAAATTACAAAGGCAAAGCCACCTTCCTCTATTCACTGCCCAATAACTTCAAATTAATGCCCCTTTCTGTATTCCCACAATTTTCTTTTTCTCTAATTCTTGGATCAAACTTGCCGACCAAAATAAAAAGAAAAAGATTTTCAACAGTGACAAAGGAAAACCAACACAAATTCAAGAATAGAAGTTAACAAATATTTCATCATTATGGTACATTAGTAAGAGTTTCAACAATATCCAACCAAACACAGCTTTCCACCAACGTAGAAGTACTCACACACTCTTTTGTAACTTCTAAACTAAAAATTTTCGTCTTATAGTGTCATTGATATAAATTATCATAGTAATGGACATTTATATATTTATATAGTGATGGAGAAACCACAATAAACGAATCATTTACTATAGAAAATTAAAAAAGAAAAAAACTACTGTATATATTGATCAATCAACAAAGTGTGAAGATCAAGGACAAAGACCATCCGGATTAAAGTAATTAATCTGAATCGGGTCCGGATCCGGATCCAGATCATCCGGCACGTGAGAAAGAACCAACTCTCCGAGAAATGTCATGCATACCCACACCAGGGTTGAACCCCAAGCACCCCAAGAGGCCTTGCTTATACGGCAAGAAAGTCTTCTTCTTCATCTCCTCCGAAGCCGCCCGGTTCACCGTGTAATGCAGCTCGTGCGCCGACAGCGGCCCTCTCCGCCTCGAGCTCACCGACCCGATGCTGTCCGTCGACCGGAAGCTCGAGTTCCTCGCGTCCTCGCTACCCGCCGTGCTCTTCCTCGACAGCACCGCGTACTTCGACCGTGACAGAACGTCGTCGTTTCTCGGCGCCCGTCCCTCCGACGCGCTCCGGAACAGCAACAAGTCCTTCAATTTCCACTTCTTGTAGTCCGTCGCGAAGGAAATAGCTGACAGGAACGACGAGTACGCCGAGTTGGAATTCGACGCCTTCGAATTTAACACCGTCGCCGTTTGAGATGAGTTCTCCTCTGGCTCGAAAACGATGTCGGAGACTCTCATTGGAGAGAGAGACCTTGTTCCTTTACGAACGAAATTCGACGAATTATGAGCCCTCATTTCTCTTCCGCGGTTGAGATTTTGATTTCGGTTTTGATTTTCCTCCTTGCGCGTCTCTTCAATGGCTGCGGTGAACGGATCGATTTCGAAATCCTTTTTCCGCCTCGGCGACATTGTGAGCGCTTCCTGGACCATTCTCTTCCCCTGAGAAATCCTCGATTTCGGCGATCTCGGAGAAGCTAAATTCGAAGATCCTGGATCGCCGGCGCCGGTGACGATCTGTAGTCGCGGCGGCGGCTTCAAAGGACGAATCTTTCCGCCGTCGAAGAGCTCGTCGGCGGCGGAGAGAGAAGGCCTGTCCAATTGGCCGCTGAAATCGAACTCGAAATCATCATCGTCGTCGTTGTTGTGACCGTTGTGGTAGTCGTCTCTGATATCAGTTGTTGGTTTCGGGACTCCGGGCTTCTCCTCCCACTTGAAGGGGACGGAGAAGTCTCGGTAGAAGGCGGAGATGCGGGCGGGGCTGGTCGGAGCGCTGGAGAAGAAGTTGCCGAAGCGCTGGGGGCTCGACGGAGCTGTCATGTACGGCGACGAGCATGCGCTGTCGAAGTTGAAGTCGTGGGGCGGAACGGGGACCGCCACTTGCAATTCCATTGTTAGAGCTCTCTGTGTGCTCTGTGATTTGAGAAATTGAACAGAAATGGAGAAACAGTGATTAATATAGAGAGAGCGATTGAGAAGGGAAGGTTAGAGAGAGAGAGAGAGGAAGGAGAGAGGAAGGAGAGTGAATTGACTGGAGGGAAGAATGGTCTTAATAGATGAGCCGCCTTTCTTTGTAAAACCTTTTGTCTTGTTTAACTACTGCCCTCTCTGCCGTATTACCATTATGATTATTATTATTTTTTTGGTTCTTTTGTCAATTGTTTGTGACATATGTTTTTAAGGAAATGTGTAACATGTTATTATTGTCAACGAAACATTGTGTGGCATTTACCATTATCGATAAAACATTGCGTGAAATATGTGATATGAGTTCCTTTTTAAGGAGTTTTATTTATTTATTTTTAAATGTCTCCACCTTAAAGTGCAAAAATATATTTTATGATTTCTTAAAATGTTTCACTCTGATTTAGGATTTTTTTTTAGGAAAAAAAAAAAACAACAACAAAAAATGATAGGAAAAAAGGCACAAAAGTTTGTGTTCATTTCTCTTATATATCTTCTTTACCAAAAGTTTTAACGGTATGTTATCAGTGAAACAAAATGCAAAACCACCAAACCATGTGTGGACAAATGATAGAAAGAAAAGGGAAAAGTTTCAAGTTTTGCATGAGATATATGGCATTGTTGTCTTTTTACGGAGATGAGATTCTTTTCATAGGAAATAATTGGGGCGGCATATTTGTGCTTCAGTTTACCGTTTTGTTCTTCTGCTTTTGTAGCTGTTTTGGGATTTTTTTTTTTTTTAAGTCTGAGATGATTATGTTTGTCTATGCCGTTAATTAACATACATTAAACAGCCCAACATATATCAAATTCATGGGATTAGTTGATGGTCATGGAATTACTAGTAAAATAAGGTATTAGGACATATCACAGTATTCACTAGACACTACTCAAGCTTCTTCTGCTTTTTCTTCCTTTTTTTGTTTTTGTTTTTGTAGCAAAGTACACCTTGGTGACTGAATTTACCCTCTTTCACAGAAAAAAATAAATAAATAAATAAATTACGACCAACTTGTGGAATAATAGGGGGATGACCCATAACAACTAGCCCAAAGTATTGATTAGAAAAAGAAGTGGAAAATGACTATTTTTATTGACAAATACGAGTTTAAATTTGTTATCGCATTTTCATGTTTTATTGGTTGTCTCTCCAATTATATTTTAATCCTCATTGAGTTGTTTAACAATTTTTAGTTTTTAGCATATTGTTATGCAGTTGAGTTGTTAAATTTTAATGACGTGATAAATTTTACAGGGACAACTAATAAAACAATAAATTGAGAACAACATATTTGAACTCGACAAATACGACCCATGATCTCCAAACAAATTTTGGTGATCGAAAGTAAAGGACAACACCACAACTAATCTAATTATCATTCTGAATTATCATAAAATTATTTCTCTGAAGTAGATTAATTTCTCTATTTCCATCATATTATCGTAAATACCTTTTCTAAACATATATAATTTATTTTTCTCAGCTGTCGGGGTGGTAAAATGCCCCCAATAATAATGCTTTAAAAGAGAAAAGTCCCAAGAATAATATTTCCCTTCGTAGATAATAAGAATTAATAATAAAATAAATGGAGCTTATGCAATCATGCAAGCGACATGCACACAACTACGGAAATTGAATCCCATTAACGTTTTTAAAACGATAACCTAATTTTCTGGAGTCATGATGAAACCTTGATTACAGATAATGACATTTTTTTTTTATTAGAGAAACACATGTTATTCACAAGTCATGACTCATAAGGACAAACATTTGGAGAATTATGGTAGGATATAAAAAAAAAATATCTTAGTGGTATTGGATAATCTTGAATGGAAAAGTTTTCCTATAATTTTTTTTTGGCTTTGATATAAATATAATTTAAATTAATAAAATTTGACAGTACTGAAGTGAGCAATATTGTAGGTTACTTTCTCTCGTAAACATTTTCTATTCAATAAATGCATATATAACTGTTCAAAAATTCTGAAAAAAAGGAACATCAAAAATTAGATTCTATTACATTGAATGCTCGTTGTTAATGTTCTTACTATATTTCTGTACAATATATTCTTTTATCTCTCTTTTTTTTTTCTTTTGTAGAGATTTCTCGTTCGATCTTGAAATTTTGAAATTTTTAGGTCGAGTAGAAAAGTGCTAAGAAGAAATTGTGGATGAATTTTTAGACCAGTAGAAAAGATAATATCGAGTTGTTTGATATATGAAATTAAGAAGGAAAGAAGTAGACAGTTTATAGGACCCACCATTTAGAGGTGAGAATATTAAACAAAAAACAAGGATATGAAATAACTATTTTGCTTTATTACACCTCATTGACACACTTTTTTTTTTTTAATCATAGGACTCACTCACACACTTGTATAAGGACATAATGGTAAGATAAATTGGTATGAACAATTTTCTACTACTGTATTTCTCTTCCCACAAATATTGTGAAGTCGGGTGCAATATCAAGGCTGATTCTTTTTTTTAATTTTATTTTTTCATTTTGATTTTTATCTTCTATTTCCAATTTTGCATTCCTCTAACCAAATATAGCGTTTTATTTTTTTTAATGAAAAAAATTGATAGACGGAAAAAAAAAAAAAAAAAAAAAAAAAAAAAAAAAAAAAAAAAAAAAAACCAGAATAGTAGTCCTGTCACAAACAAAAAGCAAAAAGCTCGTGCCAGCAGAAACTAGCAATCGGGCTCAACACAGCCACAAAACAGCCAGCAGAAAATTTTATATATTGACCAGTTCCCCAAAACATATATATATATATATAATTAAAAAATCAAGTAACTGGAATTAATATTTGGGAATTAAAATGGTTTTGAATTTAATTTTTTTCCCTACCACGTTTTTATTTTTTTTTTTCTGCACAAGTTGTTCTTATCATTTGTTTCTTTTGTCTACAAGAATTCAAGGACGCACGCAGCTTAATTAGAAAAAGGATTCAAATTTTATGAGCAGGATTTCCCATCCCAGGCCAGCATAAACAGACAAAATCTAAATTTTCATTTTTAAAAAAACGAATATATTGACTTTGTGGCTTCATTAATCATTCCTATTTCTTTATAATTCCCCATTATTGAAGACTATGCAAGCAATGTGGTCAGTTAGATAATGTAGTTTGGGGAATGTCATTTGGATAAATTAGAATTGAATATTGGTACAAATTTTTTCTTTATTTCGATTTCCTATTTCATAAGTAATAATAATATTGTAAGTAAACACACACGAAAAGGGAAAAAAAAAAAAAAATTTAAAGAAACGAGACAAGTTGAACAATTAAATAGTATAAAAACTACCAGAAAATGTAGGCTAATCTTTTAACGTAATCAAATATACGCGAATGGTTTTTTAAGTTTGATACATTAATAAATTAATTTCTTCATTTTGATAATAAGAACGAAAATAGTATAAAATATAAAATATGTTTTTTTAAGTTTCATACGTACTGATTAATTGATTTCATGATTAATAGTATAAAATTTCGAATATGGTTTTTTAAGTTTCACACATTAATAAATTAATTTCATCATTTTGACATTGAGAATGAAACTAGTATTAAATTCATTCTAATTTTTTCTCAATATAAAATGACGTAAGTTATGTTATTTTTTCAGAGAAAAAAAGGTAGAATGACGTAAATGTTACAAGTAGTAAAGTTGGACACATCATTGTATGTGAAAACGAAAGATATTTGTACACGAAATTATCAACGCTGATATATAGAGGCATGCTCATAATTCTTATTTGCCATACGTGCTTAATATGACAACCTCTAGAACATTTGCGAAAAGTCCATAAAATATTTATGGCCAACTATATATTTTTGCTTGATATCTAAAAGTAAAGTGTTCAAAGGTGAAGATTTGGATTTGTCTTTTGATGAGCAAGCATTGGGATGTGTGTCGTATGCAAGGAAGAAATTCCTAACGTTAACTGATCAAACCCTCTTCCTTTTATTTGATTTTCAAATATTGCTATCAATGACACATATTCGATTCTGGCCCTATAAGAAAAAGTCTTTCATTTCGGCCCCTATAACGTCCCCTTAAAGTTATTTTTCATCTTTTCTTTCTTTCTTCTCCCAATTACTACAGTGGTGTACTGCTTTTTTTTTTATTTATTTATTTATCTCGTAAACAATTCAAATTAGAGCCTCAATGGTCGGGGATTTTTATTTTCAGATAATTTTTGTGCTATATTATTCATTTCATACCTCTTTTGTAGTTTATTTTATAGTCTCTCTCTTTAGTTTTTATACCGACATATATATATTGTGATACCATTCTCCAAAATCATTTCCTAATTTTCCTATCTTATTTCAGATTCTTTAAATGTATATATCCTTCATATTTTAAAGTTTAAAAGAGTTAATAACAAGTTAACGGTAATACAACTACTGAGTAAAAGTTGAACATAAATTAAAAAAAAAAAAACCATTCAAGCAAAAAATTTGTTAAAAGGGAAAAAAGAAAAAGCCCTTATATTTATATTGAGCTTAACCTAAATGTCAAAATCAATTGATATAGAATGAAACATGTACATCAGGTGCTATATATATTTTGTTACCAAAAACTAGGTGCTATATTTATATGTGCTTTGTGTATTCATGTGTACAAAGTAATTAGTATACGTTTGGCCCCTAATATATATATATTCATATGGGAGTAATTTTAATGATTTTTTTAATATTTATCCATTCATAGATATTATTAATCCAACAGTTATAATAAATTGAATAGTTAACTAAAAAAATTAATAACAATTAATAAAATTAAATTTTTATCACGTCATGTCATCAAATTATATTTAAAAGTAACCACCGATAAAACTTAATCATTAAAAACCTTGTTTAGAAGATGTTGACGCAACCGTGCACTGTATTTATCCAATCAAAACCATGTTTCCCATGCAAGTGTTCAACCACTTCGTATATTTTAGTGTTTCCCTCTTCATGATAAGATAGTTCATTGTCTTTGACTTTGCAAAATGACAATTATTTGGCGATCTGATATGCTCT